CACACTAGAAATAGTTCCCATTATACATGCTATCCAAACCTTCTCCCAACTACCTCTTACATCAGCTTATACAATCTATACGGACTCCCAGGAAGCCATACGCGCTCTGCAGCAACGCAAAATCCCACCAGATCTCAGATCGGTCCTCGATGAAGCTCTACGCGCACTAAACTCATCCTCTGTCACCGTTCGGTGGGTCCCTGATCACAGCGGGATCAGAGGTAATGAGTTGGTTCATCAACTCGCTCGCGAAATGCAAATCCGAGCGCCTTTGATCCCGTGGCCTAGCCCCCCGACCAGTGACGATGCCTTAATCTACAAACGCTCAATCAATTTCTATTACAAGCAGCTCCGTAACTCTCAGCAACGACTACCTCGACCCAACCCGAACCTCAATGTGGCACAAACTCACGTCCTCCGAAAAATCCAAACGAACACCGTTCTTACTCCCGCTAGGCTTTTTCTTCTTCGACGTCGTTCTGATCCTTCATGCCCTAACTGCCCCTCCCCATACGCCAACCTGGAACATTGTCTCCTACAGTGCCCTATTGCAGTATCCACCAGAGTGTCGAACCGATATTTTTATCGGTTCGGTTCGGGTTCGGGTTCACGGCTTTCGGTTCAGTTCCGGTTCAGCTCCGGGGCGCAAAAAATAACGGTTCAAACCGGTTCGAACCGGTTCGAACCGGTTTGAACCGCTAAATTGAGAATATATTTTCCACGTTGTTCTGTCAATAGGCACTATTTAGGCCGTGAAACTAACTGCTGTAAACGATCTGATTTTTGCGAGGACCTATTCTTGAGAATTTCGCGAATCGCCTGCAATTCGCGAAAAATGGGTCCCGCGAACAATTTCGGTAAAATGTAAACACATTGAAATTTATATTGAGATTCCACCGCGGTCGAGAAAATTACAACCCGCGAATTATTCCAAAACTTAAGCTTTGACCTAAATCGCGAAATATTGAGCCCACGAAAAATAAGTCGTTTACAGTATATAGTTTTATTTTTTTTATCGTTTGTTCAATCCAGTTTTATTTTCAGGTACCAAAATTATAAAATTCTGTTATTTATTCCTACACAACAAGAAAAGAAAATCTACATTAACATACAAAACGTCGAGTTTATACGACTCAACATCCCTTCGTTTACCAGATTCACGTACACATTACCTGAATCGAAATGTTTTCGCGAAGTGAAGTAGGTTGCCTAAAATACCCGCGATTGGTACAACTTTGTATCGCAGTATCAGATGTTGAATCATGGTTTTGCCCTTGAACTAAGGAATTAATTACAGTGAATAAAATCATGAAATGGGCCCCTCGTTGCCATATATACCATAAAATGTGTTTTACGGAATACGTTTCACAATATATATATATGAAGACGAGACGACTAAGCTTAAGGCAATATAATTTTCAAAATGTCACGAAAGTCACGGGACAAGTCCTTCCAGTCTATATTTTATAGAAACACTAAGCGACAATCGCAATGCTTGTTTTTCGAACTAGCATTGTTTGCTCTCAGCACCATGATGCGAGCGACGAATCATGCGAAAAGGAGTGGCTGAAATTGTTCACTCTAATCTATGAGCACCTTCGTACTGAGATCGAATCTGACCTAAAACAGTGCTTACCCATGTGTACATTTTCTTATATTGAATAAACTGGCATAGCCTGGATGTTGAGGTTTGCTCTTGACAAAATGCCGGTCAATTTAATTTGCAAATGAGCATCACCCTCGCTAATTGATGATTTTTGTTAAATAGAACACAGCGGTATTTCGTGCTCTACTCAATTCGGAAGCTACTTAATCGGACACTTTCTGAGAGTTTAAGTGTGCAATCGTAATAGTTCCACCATTCGGTCCAGTAAAAAGCGCGATAATAAAAACACATAAAAAAGGCGATAATAAACTTCTATATATTTGAGAAGTTATATATGCGTGAGGAACATATAGTTATTTAAATTAGCTTCAAAATAAAAAAAAAATATTTAAAGCTTTTCCAAATCACCTATAACGTGTCTATAGAGGATGAAAGCGCCGAAAAAGATTTGCAGAACATCTTTCAGATAATTTAAAGGTACATTTACTTATACATCTTTGAGGTGAGGATCTTCTATTTATGCTGCCAAATATTCAGACAGGAATTAAGTATATTTTTATTATCATCGGTAAATTTGACTTTACGAAGTTCACATAACCGCCTGAGACCGACACGGATGGACGATACTCGAAAATACGCCAGCTGTTGAGTCTTCGGCAACGTGCTTTTGTTAGCTGTTTTGCAGTGTAAAATACTGGGTTGCAGGGTATGCCAAAAAACACTGTGGTCACATGATTTATCGGAAGGCAAATGCACGAAATGGGCAGAAATAAGGAGATGACACGCAATTTTTTCTAAATAATCCCTTACACAACGCTTTACTGCAAAAAGAAATGCATAGAAATGCATAAAATGATATTCCTAATTAAACATAGATTCCGCGCAGGGCAAACGAAGATTTCATAAATCCTAATATAAATCACTTTTGGGCATCAGCTTGCCTCAGCTCGAAACGTCGCGAAATACCACCTCGGGAGGCTAATGTTATCTTAGGTTTTACGTGCATTTGTTTTGGGACCTTACTTCACGACTCTGTTCTTTATCAGTCATGTGCTCCAACATCTCAGTAGGCTGCCGTATATCATCGCGAGACTGCTATAAATACTACACAACTTTACACCTTGGACGTCTACTGCTGGTGTTGCGAACATCGCTCTTCACCAGAAAGCTGAACTATTTAACATGGTTTGCACGTGACGTAATCGCACTAGATAGTGGTTGTCATTGCGAGTTGTTCTTGCTGAGAATATCAAATCCGGTGGGGCAAAATGCACGCTGCAAAAGTTTCGCGCTCAGTGCAAGCTGTGTATTTGAGAGGCACACATTTTTCTTGTTGGTGCATCGTCGTTAGGCACGGCGCGAGTAACTTGCACGACGAAAACGTGCTTTCTGGCAAGAGTGTTTTTACAAATAAAAGTTTTACCAACTACCCATCTGTCACTACCGTTTCCAGGCCACGCTTTGTAGTCTGCGCCGAAAATGCGGGGCAGAGGAATCTTTACGACACAGTATGCTATAAAACTACCCCCCTCCCCACTCCCTTTTTTTTTTTAGTTGCTCCTCAAGATACTTTTTGTTCCTCAGGGATTGCCCGCTCCGTATTGAGTGGTGTTCACTCGACAATTATATTTGTGTCACTTGCTAACAGTAATCCTTCCTTGCTTTTACTTTGCACCACACTGTGAAGTTTAAACAAAATACAGGGCGGTCGAAACTTGGAGAACTTGAGAACGACACTTCTGTGAGACTTAGAGCGGCTGCTATCCCCCTGAGGCCACTAGGATCTTTCTTTTCAGGTATCCCTCCCGTAAAACACTAATATTTCCATGTAACGTCGGACTAATACGTCACATTTAGACCCTTTAACACTTCTATTCTCGGGAGAACTTTTTGAGGCAGTTCAGCAATAACAAAAACATGTTTGGGAGCCTGAAGGGTGTGCATACATGTAAAATGGGTCGTGCAGCATTTTTTTTTTTTTTACCTTAAGTTCAATAAATACCGCTAAGATGTAATCCCTGACGTTGATAACTTACAAAAGCATCCATTAGTTTGCCCCTCCGCGAAATGGCAGACAGTCGAAAGAAAGAAACGAAATTGCTTTCCCCTCCTCAACTCGCAATTAGAACTATCAGCCACGTGACCTGACCCTAATATAGACACCGTCAGTGTTTATCATAGTCATACGCAGGGTTGGCAAAGCAGAGAGCATGGGCTGATCTTCAGATATAGTTTTAGTTGGGCTACAATGCCCGAGCCCCACTAAAGCGACAAACAGAAACAAACGACAGCGGCTAGCCTTAAACCAGAGTATTTCGCGATTTGACAGGCTTCGTAGAATAAAGAAGGCTCTGCTCAAACGCGAGTATCATGCACACGATGGTACCATTTGCAGGCTTGTAAACGCTCGTGCTAACTTCGCGAGCCCCGAACAACTCAAAGCCGTATAAAAATACCATCGCGAACATGCTGCATGTGTCTGAGGCTTGTCGCTGTCGTTTGTTTCTGTTTCTAGTTCTAGTGGGACTCGGGCCCATCATAATCTTTGAGTTGAACACGAGCCGCCACCCGAATGTTTGGCGATGCTGGTTGTCATGAACCAGAGCATTCAACTCGGGATCATGACAATCGGGTACATCATGGTGTCACGTGACTCTCAGTGCGAAGTTGTGATGTCATGTGACGTCACGGCATCAACAACGTTAATGGATCTAGCGACGTCCTTAATTTGAATCTGCGCGGTGAGTTACGTGACGTGACGGGGTCACGTGATGTGACATTACTTGACAGCATGTCTTGACATCATGACGTCACGTGACGATGTGACACATGGCTAATCACAGTGCAAATAAGAAAGCGCCGCAGAAAACCAGGATTTATTATACCTTGCAATTCTGTATATCACGATTTGATCAATATAGAAATACAGCTGCCACTTTTTTTATTCCCAAATAATAAATTTGTAATACTAACAAAAAAAAATACCGCGAACCGTTTTGAACCGGTTACCGTTATATTTTTTTCCGGTTCAGTTCCGGTTTAGTTCCAAGATGGCGGCGAAGATTTCGGTTCGGTTCAGTTCCGGTTCGGCTAAAAATAACGGTTCTGTTCCGGTTTTCGGTTCGGTTCGGTTCCGGTTCGACACCCTGGTATCCACACCGTTCCTCCCTAACCCCCCTCCCCTTTCCTGGAGTGCTTGGCTGGCGTCAGACGAACCGGATGACCAAATGGCCTTGGTGTTACAAGCCATGGATGTTTTGAACACTTAATTTGTGCTCAATATTAACGTGCATTCTCTCTCTCTCTCTCCCACTTACTGAAATCCTTGCTTGGTACTAATCATTTTGCAATCTTGCGTTCATCTGTTCAACACTCTCTAACAATTGCGGTGCAGGTAGGCGTTGTGGGCCGCACGGGAGCTGGAAAATCTTCTCTGGTTATGGCTCTCCTCCGAGTCTTGAAGAGCTCTCAAGGCTGCATCCGAATCGACGGCCTGGACATTGCCGGCGTTCCTCTGCGGAAACTCCGCTCGGGCGTCACCATCATACCTCAGGCAGGTCGTTCTTCGTGCCGCTCTGATTGGCTCACAAAAATCGCGCCGAATACACACCTCTATAGAACCACAGGATAAGCTACGCTTCGAAGTAATAGCCCTTTAGCTATCGCGCTGCTTAAAAGCGGATACTATAGGATAGGGCCAGCTTGAACTTACCCTAGTACCAGTGAGCATGCTAGCTCAACTCAAGCCTGTTGCTTAAAATTGTCGTTGGATAATTGTCAAACCGCAGGAAATGCTTTTCCGTCCTCCGGAAATGCTAAAACAGTCCACGACAGAGCAAACCGATATCACCTGAGCTTTATGACCTTGTATCTGACGTTATTGAACTCGCATTTCCGAGTCGTCAGAAAGGCCAATTGTGCCCGCGTTGCACTAGGCAACAAAATGGCGGCGCCCCGCAAGACAGTTGGAGAATGCAAGGTCCATTTTCTGAACAGCAGTTTACAGAGAGGCTCTGCTTGCCTGAAGCTGAAGAAAAAGAGAAACCTAAGAAAATATATAAAAGCTAGTTGATATGGTATTGTATGTTCCCCCTATCTTTTTTTTTCCTTGCACGCACGACAATATGGGCAATAGGATGTAGAGGGGTAAAATATGCGTTACTCTTTTCTGACTACTAATAGATGCATTGAAATAATATTCAAAGAAACCACGAAGGTAGTATGTGCCGATAAGAGAACTCAATTAGGAACCATTCGGACGTATATATGAGCGGTAGTTGATGCTACCAAACAATTACAATCCTCTTAATAAAATGTAGGCTTCTAGTCTTCGAGGAGCTCTCGAGAAAACAAACAGCTCCACTACCAAAAAAAAAAAAAAAAAAACATATATATATTTTTTTAATTTGAGTACTTATATTTATTTGATTTAAATTAAATTGATATAATTTAAATCACATTATTTTGATTTAAATCACCATAGCCAGAAAATAGTGGCCTTTTATTACTACATGCATTTTTAAACATTGCAGATTGATAACAATGCAGAAGAAAAAATATATTTGTTAATTTAAAGTAGGGTTTAATTATCTACCCTACTAGCACAAAAAGAGCTTGTATATTTTTAGTTATCTTTTTTCACCCTCTGATCTGCTCGCACTAAGACATTAGTGATCTCTAGTTTTGTTTCTTTCTCTCGCGTTTCCATTTGCTCGTAACAGGACGCGTTACGTAACTAAAGAAGGAAGTGGAAGATAGAAAGAAATATCAATGATCCGATTTGTTCAAGAGATCAATGCTTTTTGTTCGTGCTCAGACCCTGATAAATCTTGCTTGCTCCTAGGATTTTTCTTATTTCAGTACAAAACAAACGAACAGACAAAGCACCAAATGATAGGCAAAAGTTAAATGAAAACGTTTTTAATTTATTTTCGAGGTGGAAGGTTTTATAGAAATAGTCACGATAAAATTAGTCTGATTTAAATCATGATTTATACCATATTGATCTTTATTCTCAACCCTGGCTAATATCCTGAAGCAACTTCTACGGAATCAGTGTTGTATAAACCAAACGTAAAATTCGTAAAAAAAAAAATGTTGCTTTTGTGTCTAGTAACTTTGAGCTGCAAGATGGGATAGATATTTAATGTAAACGGCCAGGGTGTCTTTCGTCACTTGCCCTTCCAAACTACTGCCATCCCTGAGTAAATCAGCTCAGCTATATGTACATAGTTAGACTAAAATAGGATCTACAAAGACGCAAAGATTTTGAACAAAAACCAAATATAGACATGCTCCATGATTTCGTGCTTTTTTTCTTTCTATGCGTGATCAGTTTAGCCGGTTTAGTGCTGTGACAATTCACTTTTGGCTCCAAGACTATTAAAATATATTGAAATAGAAAAAAAAAATGATTCTTCTTGTTTGATCTACTTCACTCCTTATCGCCCCTTTCCTTCTAAAAAAAACAAAAAAACAACAACAAAAAACAACAGGACCCAAGCCTGGTGCGAGGCAGTCTGCGTGAAAACCTGGACCCGACGGAGTCTCACACGGACCAGGAGATCTGGGCGGCCCTGAAGCAGGCTCACCTCAAAGACGTCGTGGCGAGGGACCCTAAGGGGTTGCTCCTCGACACCGGAGATGGCGGATCCAGCTTCAGGTGCGAAGAACAGTCGAGGAACTGACCCGGTGTGGGGAGGCGCTGCCATCGAAATAACTTGGACGGAAGCTTGAGAGCAAAGAACGAGTAGTTGGGTGTATTGGACGTGAAAATGTTAGAACTTTACCGAAGCGTCGAAAGCGGTACTAATTCATTAAGAAAAAAAAAGCACACACGTTTGTTAAATAAGCGCTCACTCACAACTGGACGTTTATTTTCAGCGAGACACCGCAACGAACTGGGGGCTTCCGCTCCTCGCTCTGAGATTATAGGAGAATCGGCTTGCCCATTAGCGGAATCGCTTGTGGTCTTTGCATAAGACGTAGAACGTGACTATTGAATTGGACTACAGGACCATTACAATAATAGCTTTCTGCGTGCGCTAACATTTTTTTTCTACTGGGTTGCGGAACTATGCTCTGAGCATGGGCAGTTCCGAGGAATATCAGACGCGACTCACATGTCCTCAGCGCTATTTCTCTGGGAGATAAGCTCTTGCAAGTCACACAACCCACCATTTGCGCAGGCGAGTTGGTGGATGTTGATCATGATGTAGAAAACCCGAGACTCTGGTAAAAGCAGGGAAACTTGGTCGTAGAAGAAAGACAGGGGAAGAGAACGTCTCAAACTCAGCTACTGCGTTTATTTCCTCAAAGTCTTATATACCCACAACGTCGGTGGTCGGTGGTTAGGCTGGGGGTACAACGTGGTTGCCGGTATGTAAGACTTTGAGGAAATAAACGCAGTAGCTGAGTTTGAGACATTCTTTTCCCACGTCTTTCTTCTTCGACTCCGTTTTCCTGCTTTTACCACAGTCTCAAGTTTTCTACATCATGATCAAAGTCAGTTGTGTCACTATCACGCTAATTGACCGGCCCTGTTACCCACCTTTTTTTTATATATTTTAATAATCTTGTCAATTTTAGTGCGTTATATATATATATCCTATTACATACTAAATAAGCCATTTCGTTCTCTTCTTGTGTTTGTGTCTGTGCCGCTCTGCCCCGCGTTTCAGAGGGCAGGAGCCAATACCACATAGAAAGCAAGGCCTTTCCCCACCCACATACGTAATCCCTAGTCGATCCATGCAGCGCCTCTCAGCTCACGTTAGCGTCGTTCTCAGCGTGTCTTGCAGGGTCTCACAATGAGAGCGACACTATAGCACGCGGTGACGCCAAGACGAACGCATCTGTCGCTTTGGCGCGTCTCTCACTAACTTCAGCGTCTTCACCGCTTGGGCGTGGCGGAGATCCACTGACGACAATGTAATGGGCGGGTCTTCTGTGTGCAGGAGCGCGTCAAGCTGGAAACTAGTGTTTTTTTTTTCTTTAGCCCTTGGTATACGTGTGCTCAATATAGCAAAATAAACTTTTTTTTTTTTATCTCTGCAGCGTGGGTCAGCGTCAGCTGGTGTGCCTGGCCCGAGCCCTGCTGCGCAAGCCCCGGCTCCTGGTGTTGGACGAGGCCACGTCGCAGATGGACGGCGACACGGACCAGTTGATCCAGGCCACGCTCCGAGAAGCGTTCGCCCACTGCACCCAGCTCACCATAGCGCACCGTATACACACCGTGCTGGACTACGACAAGTGAGCGCCTGGGCAGAGAAAAAACATCCGTTGGTGGATCCTTAAGCCGGAGTCACACTGCCCATACATCCTACAAAAGACAGTCTGGAACAGGGTGTAAGATAGACAGGTGGGGAAACGAGAGCCAAATGAGCGACCGGATTGTGTCCCTCTCGGGTTTCTCTTTTTCTATGGCGCCATCTATGTGGAGCACCGCGAACTCTCACTCCGGGTGGGCGACCGGTGGCGACCGGCAAAACTGACGGAAATGATTTCTCGTGGATTTCAATGGAGGACTGTCGTGCTCTAGGTTTATTTTGCGGACTCTCCCATAAAGTTCCATGCAAATCCGATTCCAATTTTTTTCCTCTCGCCGCAGCGCCATCTGTCGCAAATCGCGGGTACCCGCAAGCAGACGAGTACACAATCCGGTCACGGCGCTGCGGTAGGCTTCTATGGGCCGTTTCCCCACCTGTCTATCTTACACCCTGGTCTGGAAACACGAGTCACCGCAATATCGGTGGTTCGAATGCCGCCTGCCAAGTTTTTTCCTTCAACTCGCTGCCATTCGGCATTTGAAACACGAATCTCACGGTGATTGACGTTCGAATCTGTATGCAGACTGCCTCTGTAGGCTGTATAAGCCGTTTAACCCTGGTTTTAGAAAATTCATTAGCATGGCCCTTGGAAAACGCCGCACACAACTTTCTTTAGAAAACGCTAACGCTGATTCCTTTACTTCTCTCTTTTTGCTTTCTATTTTTCTTCCTCCGTTTTTTTTCTGCCTCTCTTTGGCTTCGTTACAGGGTCAGTGTTAGCGTTTCTTGAAGGGGGACGTGTGCGGCGTTCCCCAAGGGTCATGCTAGCGCATTCCCTAAGAGTATACCAATGAATCTTCTTTTAATTTTTTGCCGCCTACTTGGACCAGGATTAGTACTTGGGTGACACTCCGTTTTGAAGCACAAACCAAGGAATACGCGCTCCCCACACCTGCAAGTTCAGACTCGCCCCAGCATCCGCACGCACACTGGCTTCGGCCTCATGACGTCGCCTCCCTCTCCCCTCGCCGTGCCGCGCGCTCATTGGCTTCCACCCCGTGACGTGGCCTCCCTCTCGCCTTTGTCCTCCTCTCCTCCTCTCTACGAGGAGCGCTTCTCTTTCCACTGTTCTGTCCACAGACGGACGCCGACAGCTTTTCGCTGCCATGCGGGTACTAATGCTAAGACATCAATAAAAAGAAACTGTAGTACGTTAGACGTAAGGAAGAGCAGGACACGCTCCTTCCACAAAGTCCTTCACTCTTTCCACATTAGCAGGTCGAACGCCGGAGCGGAAGCGTGTGCTTGGCTCCTCTCTAGCCTTCGCTCTGATAGAGTGGAAAGAGTGGAGGACTTCAGGAGATTGTCTGGCTTTTCTTAACCTGCGATAGAGTGCAGTGCGAAAAATATGCTCCACATTGTGTGTCTCGACTTTATTTGTGGAACTAAAATACATCTAACTTATGTGTTTTCTTTTTTTTTTTTTTTTTTTTTTACAGGATTCTTGTGATGAGCGACGGCCGAATTCTGGAGTACGGGACGGTTTCAGAGCTCCTTTCCAATCCATCGTCGGTGTTTAGAGACATGGCCAGAGACGCTCTTATTCAGACGGACTCGGGGAAGTAGACAATGTCTTGAGGCCCATCCCGACCGTCGGAAGACGACTGCCAGTTAGTGTGCCATAAAAACACCAACTCAAACCGAAAAAGAAAAAAAAAAAAATATATATATATATATTTACGGGTCGGTCACGGTTATGGTAACCATAACTGACTGCAAACCTTTTTCGTTTACCCTCCTCCCCAGCCACGTTGTTGTCAAATCCAAAATGAATAAAAAAAAACACAAAAAACGATCAACAATTAAACAGTTAGGAACAAGTAAAAAAAATGAAAGCTGCTTACAATTCCCTGTATCGAATTAGAGCGCAGCTCTTGAGGAGGAGTGGGGAGGGGTACTGAGGGGGGGGGGGGGGGGGGGGAGTCATTTTGATTTCGGGGAGGGGGGTCACGTGACCCCCCAGAGAAAGTTTTCCGCTAGACGTAGCGGGAAAATATTTTCGCTACATCTAGCGGGGAAATGTTCCCGCTAAATCTAGCGCCGAAGGCGACGCCGAGGGCGACGCCGACGCCGACGCCGTTTCCGCTCGAGGGACCATTTTTTGGGACGCGGTGAACACACCAGTCGGAGACGCGTTTCAGGCGCAGTACTACCGAATAGACCACATGCAAAAAGAAGCGCAACCTACCGTTGTCAGATCAATTATCGAATTTCCTCCATATTGGAGGGTTCCCGTAGCGATGGTTTCGCCCGAGAGAGATTAGGGACGTTTAGCGAACCGTTACCGTGTTCCGCGTACCACACTACCGGAGCCTTTGAAGCATGCTTTTAAGCAAGCGCCCCACGGTGACGGTATCACTCGGGCGCGCGCTAAAAAGCATGCCTCAAAGGCTCCGGTAGTACGGTACGTGGAACACGGTAACGGTTTGCTGAAAGTCCCCAATGCATGGTCGCGGAAAAGTGAGAGTCGTGGGACTAAAATATGATTTGCTGCAAGTCCAATACGAACGTTTCACGGAACGTATTCGATAAAAACTGTTCACTGACCTGCAGACCTATGTTGCGCTTTTTGGACTCCCACGGCGACTAGGAAGGAAGAAGTGACGTCAACAACGCAGCAAACGCAGCTTGGATGTTGATTAGTGAGAGTCGATGATGACGAATTTCCGCAGAAGAAACATCCAATCTGCCTTTTTTTTCGTTGTTGACGTCACTTGCTTCTCCCTAGTCGCCGTGGGAGTTCGAAAAGCGCAACATATAGGTCTCAATGGATGGCCCAGTTCACTGCATGCGTGACGACGAGTCTTGCGACCTCATTGCTGACAATTCCGTTTCCAGAATTTCTCGTTCAACTTTCTTTTCTTCTTTGAACCCAAACTAAACAGCAACCCGTTGGGTGCACAAATAAATTGTCCTTATATCATGAAACCCGAGTTAAATGCAGAGGCGTCTCGTCCACAACTGGAAGATGCGAAAAAAGCAATATGATGGCTTCTCATGACATGATAATGATAGTTATCAAGACTTTTGCATATGGTCTTTAAGTTTCGATTGTGGCAACCATTACAATACAAATCCTTCATTAATTTGCATCTTTTGGGTGAATTACGGCATCATACTTTACAAGATCGATGTTTTGTGGAATATTTAAGAATATGATCGATCCAGTTGTCCAACGCAAAACATTGTTCGGAAATCAAACTAAGACCTTCCGAATGCCATCGTCCACACAGTCTCAAAGCAAGCGTGTGAACCTACTGCAGACCGCAAGTTCGTCTGCTTCTTAAGCAGGGGTTGCGGTGACGTCAGAACGCCGGGTTCTAATTGACTCCGATTGGAAGGCAGCTGCCAGTGGCAATGTAAGTTGTAGTTGGGCCCAATATATGAACAACTGCAATCCTAGTGCAGTCACCACACTGTCTACAGATTCTGCTTGACCTTTTGCCCAATATATGAAACAATATCGGGTTGGAATGTTCGTGATTTTACAAGGGCGTACTGATCTATAGTCTGGCCCAAGTCTAGACCTTTTGCAAAGATCGCACTGTGCGCGCTGCCATCTTTGTCTGCCGGGATGCTGAATGCCTTGTGAGCGTGCGCTGTTGCTCTGATATGCGCTAGATCAGACTCTGCGCATGCGTTCACAGCTCAGTGACTCAGCATTTTTCATTCGGTGATAAGAAATGCTCGCGCAGACCGCCACTGATTCAGAAGATTCTTTCAGTCGTGCCTTCGGATAGCTTGATGACGTAATTGTGGGACCGAAACCACCCGCCTGATGACAGTGGTGTGCGGCTGGTGGATTAAAATTAACTGTTGGGCTAGTTGGGTAAACATCTTAATTACAAAAGCTCGAAAGGACACGGACAGAACGAAGGTATGATCGGGACAAGCGCTCGTGGACTGGACTCTAAACTTGCGTGAGTACTCGACTTGGGCTCGTAACAATCGACGCCTCGGCGGACATTCGTGTAAGCGGCTCGTGTCCAACCACTGCGGTGATGAGCATAGCCGAACTCTAACAATCCTTGGGGCTCTGCACGCATTTTCTACTTTGCCAACCCAAGCGCGTCTGTGATTTACGTTGGCGGCATAGGATAGGTAACATAACACTTGACCACTTGTTCTGGCTCCGAGTTGAGGGGATGACCGATGCTCACATATCTCGAATATCTTTGGCGACTACCACTGCCTAGAAAGGAAAGCCAAGGCCAGTTTATTCATATATGAACGTTAGGAAATGATTCTAAGTACTATTTCGGGAAATGTAGAAAAATCGTTTCATGGCCTTTTTAATATAAAATGCTTCGCCACTGATTCGGCTGCCTTGACCTGCTCCGTTTTCAGGCTCCACTCGCTGCTCTTGCAAATGGCTTTCATAAAAAGATATAGCGCAGCATAACTCCGCCGCTTTTACAGCAGGGGGAGTTATGGCAGGGTACGCCACTTCGTAGCGAAGCGGTGCACTTCAATGCGGAGCCAAGTTCGTCTGCTTCTGTTCAAGGGGTTGTGATGACGTCAGAACGCCGAGCCCTGATTGGTTTTGAATAAAGAATAGTGGGCAGACCTCAAGGCAGCCATATTCGAGGTCTACCCACTATTCTTCAAGCCAGAGCTTATCAGAGCGCGGCGCCGCAACAACAACCGCTCCTGCAAAAGGAGCAGACGAACTTGCGTACCGCATAGCGAGTTTTTTTTTGTTTTTTTTCATCTCTCTTCTAGTAAAAACAAAATATCGATGTGCCATTGAATGACCCTTCCTTTTTCGAACATTTTCATTGTCTGCATCTATATCTTCCGAGCACCACTTCAAAATAAACTTGCCATTTGATCTCAACCTCTTGGAGTTTATATTTTTGTTTGGTTTGTCATTAGTTGTATATAGTTCTGAAACGCACTAATAAATCGGTTGCAAGTTCGTGTTCTTTCTAGACTCGGTTTTAGTTTCAAATAAATTACCCAATATAATGTCGACTTCGTTTTAAGGCCCGTTCACACTCTTGCGACCGAGTACGACTGAGAGAGACGAGATCTCTTACAACTTCTTAAATGTTTCTAGAATGAGGGAACACACTGACATTGTGGCGCCATCTATGCGGTGACCCTAGAACTGCATTTCTCAAAAGCTAAGGTTTTGCGGGATTTCCGAGGTCAAATGTGCGTAATACCCATAGAAAGGCTCGTTTATAACATTGACAAAAGCCTTTCGAGCCAAAAAAGAAAGGATATTGCGCGAGAAATAAAAAAAAATATGCCGGACCGCCGAGTTTACACTGCTTCCCAATAGATGGCGTTAGTGTGTTCTCTGGTTTAAGAAGTTTTAAGGAACCCAGGTTTAAGAGGTCGCAAGCAGTCGCAAGAGTGTGAACGGGCCTTTAAGATACGGTTAGCAACAAAATACTGGATCCTGTCGGTTTTTGGTTTCGGCTGCTGTTCAGTTTTCAGCTCCTGACTCTAGGAGATTTCAAGCAGCAATGCCTTCCAAGCGTAATTACGCTTGGAAGGCATTGCTGCTTGACATGTTCTTCAGAACAGGGGCTGTTCGTCATTTAAACGTCAAAACTCTCCTGGCCCTCCTTGCAAACGCCCGATCGATGTGGTTTGGTATTTCAAAACCCTACACTCGCAGAGGTCCTTGAATGTATAGATCACGGTGCGGCTTTGGAGTGACCAATCGACCGTCTTCTGTCCTGCCAATGAGAATTGGATTATGCCCAACCAATGGCTGCGCGGTCTTGGCGAAAAATATGCTGGAGTCTTTTTTTTTTTTTTAACAATAATATTATCGCGTATAGACGCGATATTATTCGCCATTCTCAGTAGGGAGTTCTTTTAGACCTTTCTCGCCTCTCCGCTACGCTATCCCTGGGGAGGGTGCAAGCACGCCGGTAAGGGCGCTGTGGGGCAGAGCGTGGCAGAGCCGTTCATACTTAGATAGTTTGGCCCTGTTAAGAAGATATTGACAGCCTGGCAACCACCGCAGCGTAGTCTGACAACCGGGGGATGGCTACTTCCGTCCGACATTTTGGGGCTCTGACTCATAGGAACTCTATGCGATTTCTCAGCAATAAAGAAGACAAAGAAGTAACGCCATTTTGTGCTATCGCGAAATGCGCTGGTTCTAGCTGGCAACAAGCTCCGCCCATTGGCCGAACTCTCTCAGTATAAACGGCTCTGGAACGCGGCCATCCGACGGTTGGCAGAGGCCTGACGGTCGCAGCAAAGATGCTTTATTCGACTTCAAAATGATCGTACTCTTCGTTTGCTTTTGTCTGCTGGGTTGTTTGAAAAAATAAGTTCAATCCCATCTCAGACCCCAATAAAAAATTGTGGCTTGGGCAAACGGCAGAAGCTTATATTCAAAGCGCAAATGCCGTTTGGTAGCGGTCAGTGACTTAGACTCGCCTCTTTAAATGTTTTGCTTCGTTTTGCAGTTACAAAAAAAAAAAAAAAAAAATGTCTTTTCACTTTACGCATTAGCATTAATAAAGCGAAGTTTGAGTATGATCTGATATGCGATGCTTCTCTCTTTATTTTAATTTGAAAGCTCTTTTAAGTATTTTTCAGCAGCTGTACGTTTTTTAAACATCTAAGTGCCTAGTTTTTGTTCCAATTTAAATATATATTTTTATTTTGCATAAATTAAAAAAAAACTAAGCTTTTCTTGACTATTTACAGTCAAACATTGTAGACCAGAAAATGTCCCAACTAATTTGATTTAGTTAGCCTGCACTGTATGAAAATAAACACCAAGACTGGGAAGAAAAATGGAGCAATTTCAACTGCTGCACGACATTGTGAAAAACCGCGCAAACAAGACGCGAAACAAAGTAAGACGGACACA